AGGCAGGCAGGCTACTGGAGATCTTCCATTTGCCAACAGCTGTGCTCTCAAATGCGTGTATGCAGCCCTGGGCTTCACGGCCAGGGTTTTCCAATAAACAAACCAAGTCACATTTGACTCGGTATCTGAAGTCAAAGACTGAAGATTCATCGTACTGGCTCTGGCCCTTTCCCTTTAAACAAGCAAGGTTAATGCTGTGCAAGAAACGGAAGACAACATTCACGCTTGGCATCGCATGTATGTGAATATTAACCAGATCACAACTCAAACAAGGAGGCACGCGTCTATAAGAACATAGTTCAAAGCCTGAGGACAACCTAACGGCATCGCATAGCAACAACTGTTTGGGTTTTGTTACAGAAGGAAGAAAGCTCATAGAGAAACTCAAGTAATTTTCTCTACAAGGAAAGGTAGAGACTGGTTTAGAACCTTTACTGTGTTATTTTTAAATGCAAAGTTTTCCGCGTTCTGTTTATTTACAACCTGAAACGTTTGTAATGGTTTTTTGAGGCGGCACCCTCCGCAGCAGACAGAGCATCGCGCCAGGCATCAGCAACCTGCGCAAACCGCCACCTCCCACGTCCGCTTTGAGCTTAGTGCCGCCTCCTCGAACATCTTGGAGTTACTTCCCCACTTTTCTAAACCGTACGCTCCGCTACATGCATACTACTACTTCCTTAGCAACAAATTACATGGTCAGATACCCTTTAGTAACTTTTGACTAGTTAAGCCATTAAACCTCCTGTAGCACCTTGGCATCTTCAAACTGGAAGCCTACCCTGAGTCAGAGACAAAAATTCTGCCCAGCAGATGCTCACCTGGGAGAAGATTAATGACCTTGCTTAGGAATCTACATTAGATGAAACATTTCATTTCGTGCAGAGACACACAAAACGCATTCCCACAGTTACCCAGAAGAGAAGGCACCATGAACGCCACCTGACGCGCTAAATCAGCTGTATTAAATTGAGTTCTTCACGACTGTTCGAATGATCTGATCATCATACGGAGGACAAAAGGGAAGGCGCTACTCAGACGTAAGCAGGGAAGGGGCTGGGCAACTCATGCAGGAAGGCTTGCCATAACCTTTAATAATTCTTACTCCCCCTCGTAAGTCTGAGCCTAACGAGAGGGACAGCAGAAGAGCACCGAGGGGAGACGCCGCTGTACGGGCACTAAAAGGACGGGAAAGCAGGACAGAGGCAGAACGAGACACGGGAACGCTGGACTTTAAGGACTACGAATACGTGAGGGGAGCACGCGTACCCCGCAAGCGCTGCCTGGGTAAGCGGAGCCTCCCGCCCGGCCTTGCCGTGCCCGCGCAATGGTACGTCCTTCCCTTCTTACAGCAGGTTCTGCCTCTGAACGCTCGTTAAACCACGGCCAAATAAAGAAAAGGCAAGGGATCCATCAGTGGACTTAAATCCAAGCTGCTGTCTGTGAAACTACAATTTTACCATCTGCAGATCGAAGTTATTAGGAGCTTTTCTCCTTTTACCCTTACCATGGGCTTCGGTTTCTCAAGCCCACAGAGCCCCGGGACGCCGTTACTTTCCGCTGCTGAACGTCAGCCTGACGCTAGGATAAACTTCCAGAGAAAGTACCAGGCTTTTCAGCAGCACTCTTCCCTTCCCGAGGCTGGATCAACTCTTCTGCACTGCCACAGCACCGTCCCAACTCCAACAGCCTGCCACAGCAGAACAGGCTACAGGAACACGACACACGGAGCGGATAAAGCAGCGGTAAGTACGGCAGGTACCGGCGATGGGCTCCCAGGCGGCCGAGTTCTGCGAGGCCCCACAAACCACGCAACCCGGCTCAAGCGAGACGAGGTGGGACCTCTCCACGCGCCGTCTCACCTCCGAGGGATGATCTTGCTTGATGGCTGCAACTCAGTTACAAGCTTTGCAAATACTCTGGCAAGTATTTGATAAACTCCATAAATATTGTGACAACAAATATTGCTACTTTGACCAAAACGACAGCAGAAATGTACAACAGAAGCCTGCGGAAGCACCAGCTTTCTGAAACACAGTACCAAAACCAACGAAGAGGCAGCCCCTACGTGACTGATGAGGTGTTCTTTTGCTATGGCAAGTGCATGCACATGCATGCGGCTTTTCAAATAAACAGGGTTATTTTCCCGGGATACGAAGCAGACGGGAAGATAGGAATTTGCAAAACTGATGGCATGCAGACGGCTTCTGCTGCAAAAGTAGATATGTAAACTATTTCAAAACAGAAGCGTTGAAATATTTTAGTTCTTAAATGTAAGTTTAGATTCAGGAAGAGACCATGGGCAAACCCCTGCTTTACCAGCACAACTGACAATTATCCCACATATTTACAGTCAAGCAATCCAAATTTAGCACCCTTCTGCTCCTCGTGCCCATACACCCACTGCTGAGAGCAGACACTAAAAGCCATGAAGCTCAGCCATGTCCACGCAGCAAACCTTAGCGCAATATGCAGGTTTGCCCCACTAGCAGCAGGTGTCTTAGAAATCACGATTAAAAATCTCCTTAGGCACAAAATAAAATTTGCAAGGTCTTTTGCTAACTTGTGGCAAGCCAAGCGTTCTTTCTCTGTTACTTAGGATATCAAACTTCGTTTATAAGCTACACACGGAGTGAATTGCTACCACAGCGATTCCCTTCACTTGCTCCCAAAAGGCAAGAACCTAGCTGGCTACGCTGGCCAGCGTCTAAATTCCTTTGAAGTCGAAAATAAATCTTTCCAACGGACACGTGGCCCTAGAATTTCTCACTCTTGTTCCAGTTTCTGTTAAGCCATGTTATCTCCCTCTTCACATCTTTAGGATACGCTTGGGGATCAACTATTCTAGCTTGGTTGAGAGACGCCTAGTACAGCAACAGAGAAGCCCGAAACGCTAACGTCAAGTTACTTGGGCTAACCTCCGAGCTGGCGGGAGGACAAAAAAAATTCAACCTGAAATCCCATCCACCTTAGGGATTATTTATTTATTTCACACTCACTTGCTTAGAGCTCCAAAAGACACAACGGCGAGGTGAAGCAAGCAAGCAAAAGCGCTCGAAAAGGTGGTTTTCAACATGTGAGCCATTCCCACCCGTGTTGCCCAAAACAGGGAGCGGCGGAGCCACCGCGGCAGCTCTCCACCGGCCAGGCCGTCCCCAGGCAGCAAAGGCAAACGCGGCAGGGGTGGCAGCTCAGGTCGGGTCCTTGCCAGGCGGCTGCCAACGCAGCAGGGGCAGGGAACGGTGGTAGGGCAGCTTCCTACCACGGCTCTGCTCCAGCGCTGGTTTCCCACCCTGCCAGGCGGCGGGAGGGTCACGGGCTTGAAGAAGCCCCTCAGAGACTGCATGCGACAGCTTGGGCTGAGCTGAACAAAGACAACGGGGACTCCGGAGTGTCAACCCACTCTCCTCCTCAACAAGAAGCACATGTTCTCCAAGTCCAGTCCCTAAAACCATGGAAAGCACATGAAGGGCTTCTCCTGGGCGCTACGGGAAAAGAGCGGCAATAAGCCACACCACCAAGAAATCTCCTCTTCTTTACTTAGGACCCCTTTGCTATCTGCTGTCTTCTTACACAGGTGGAGGTTTGCAAAGACAGCGACCACTTCACGGCAGGTAACTGAAAACATGACGCCGCAGCTTGTCAGCCACATGGCAATCTCTGCCGAAGCTGCTGCGCTCCTTCATCTGATTCCATTTAATTCAATTCATTGTCTTAAAGTGCTGTCTCACTTAACACAAGGACTGAGGATTACTGCTAAAATACAGGTCTCAACCCGAGGGTCTCGTTCTTTTTAAGAACTACCTCTGAAGCTCTATCTATCCAGGCATACGTCTGCACGGCCTTTGTAAACACAGCACGCTGCCGACAGATTCTCCTAAAAAAACCCAAAGAACAACCAAAACGCACCGAACTGACATTAGTTAATCACCTCAGATGTAACCAGCACCGGTATTTCCTTTCTTTAACTAAGGCAAGTCAAGGAGTTTTGGTGGGGCACAGCCCCAAGCTCTGAATTAGGAGTTTGAGCCATTTCAGCCGTTTCTCATGCAGCGACCGAGGCGCGCTGCGGAGGCGGGGCGGTTTGCTAGCCAGCGCTTATCGCAATATGGAATCAAACCGTTAACGTGTGGCACGTAACGGGAAGAGGAAAACCTATTTCCAAGAAGGCATACTTGTTGCAGGCTTGTTCATATGATTCCTCTCCTGAGCAGCGGCAGAGTAGCCACCACATTAATCTTCCTGGATGCTGCAGTCGTGTTCCACCACTGCTCCTGCTACTTAAAGAGTACAAGGTAAGTATTGTTAGCTTGCTTTACCACATGATTGAATTAACGAATGGTATGTGTACTCGATATATGCCCAGTCTTTCAATATGGGATTTGTGTCCCAAGCCAGTCATTGCATCTGCTTAAGCCACAATGAAACGCGGCAATCGGGCCAGCGCGGCTTTGAGAACGAACCGTTCATAGATGCGAACCGCTCAATTCTCACGACGCCTTCTGATGAAACAAAACTGCAGTAAGAAATCAAAAAGCGCGCTTATTTTGTCAATAAACCCTTTAAAACTTAAATCTGTTGCTATTCTTGGACTACAGGGCAGCCCGCGATTCTGCTACCCAAGAAGTACACGGGGATGATCTGGACGCCAAATTCTACATTTACTCACCAAAAGGTTGTCTTTTAAGTCTTAAAATGACTTCGTTATTAATTTTCCCATTTGTAACGCCTCATGAAAGTAAAAAGGCGAACCAACAAGAGGTAGGTTTGATTTCTCTCTCTCACACCAGTGACATTAAGGACTTGGCTCATCAAAGGCAGAGTAATTATCCCAGAATAAAGCAGTAGGACTGTACACATCAATACGTACTGAGGCATTTTCTAAGGGATTTAAGAAATGAAGTTCTTGACATGGTATCATTAGCAATGTGTAGTTAAGAGCAACAAAAGCCGCGTACAGCGTGGTAAAATACCAAACGTGAGTGCTGTTAAATAAGCCTTACCAGACCATCGCAATTGCTAATAGCGACAGAAGCTCCGGGGACGTCAGTTATGTCTCCCACGTAGGCGCAGTTGGTCCACAGGGGTTCTCTTTTCCATAACCTCTCTGTAGCAGTTCTAGCCTGACTCCCGTTACCAGCATCGCTTCCAGTTTCCACAGAGTCTTCGTACCACTCCACTACCGCCTCGGGAGCCACTAAGCGCGTGTTGGGTTTCAGCCGGAGATGGAATTCCCTTCCAAACGCAGTGACATTAAAATACAGCTGTTTGGGGCTCTGGGATACCTCCCGCGTCGATCTCCTTTGGTGACTTGCAGAGAGGATATTGGAGATGTAGCTTCCATCCGCGTTGGTACTAATTGGAATCACTAACCCATATGGTCTCGGTCTGCTTTTTCGTAATTCTGCCAAGAGAAATACCCAAAACCAAACTAAAATTAGAACGAGAGCATAGAACAAGCCTGAAGATTGAAGACCAGACGTGCAGCTACAGAAACGCCCGCCACCAGGACAAACGGTAAACGCGGGGCCGCAAGAGGCCATGGCCTTGGCTGCTACGGGCTACGCTCCTTCAGAGCGCTCCAGCTCATTTACTGCGCCACGCACCCCAGCTACCGCGTGCCCAGGCCTACCGCCGAACGCCGTGTACGTAGGACCCCCTGCCTCATGTCTCCCCTTCCCAAATTCCCAATTTCAGATTCCTCTCAGAGCTACTCCAAATCACTCCACCAACAAGTTCAGCTGAAGAACGATAAAACCCTGTGTAGTTCTTAAAAGGACAAGGGACAGTGCCGCCTACCACACCAATGGGCATTAAATTATCTACGAGATACTAGTCTGGATGTAAGCACCAATCTAACGTAGGCAAAAATAAGGTATGTGTCGCTGCTCTCTTTAGCTGGAACACTCAAGCCTATAAATCTTCACTTGGGTACCCTACAGCAAGGCCTTTTATACTCTTAATTGTTATTAATAAAATGCTTTCTACTCCTTTTACACAGACACCGAGAGGACGTGCAAGAAAGAAGAAAAGCATTTGACACGCGATCATGATAAGTCAGGTACAACCAACGGGGGATAATGTGAGAGGAAGGCCATTTCAACTCCAGGGAAAGCATACGGACCACGCCGAGGCGGACGAACCCAAGGAGCTGTGCCCAGGTACCCCCTCAAACACACACCGCAGATGCTGGGATACACGTTAAGCTCATGCAAACAACCCTCCACATGCCAAAATTTTCAATAAGCAGGTCTTTCATGAGTCTGTTTTCATAAAACTTACAGAGAAAACCCTGAAATATTCATTTACATTTATCTGGGGAGTTTCCTGGGGTTTAGGTTCGCTCAACAGCCAGAGAAGAGGCAGCGAGCCTTTTGAGTTCTCTTGCGAGCAATGCCACGCAACCCCTTCGTACGCCTTCAACAGGATCGCTTGCTCCTGTGTCAAGACCTCCATTAAGATTCCGAAAACGGAGCGCCACGCCTGGTTCTAGGCACGATTTGCATATGTATTTCTGCAGTCTCACAAGATTCAAACCGGGAAAAGAACCCAGTGGATATCACATACCGCTGATAAATTAATCGACGCCAGCAGTGGTGTAAGCAGGAACTTTTCCCTCTACAGATCTCCTCTAACAAATCCCCTTGCCCAGCAACTTGCTATTGCCTTTCCTCTTCATCTAACTCGAGTAACGGAGTTCAAAAACAACAGAGAAGCTATTTATTAAAAAAACCAACACAGAACTTCACGAATTTGTACCGAAATCCTGCACTTTACTGCAATACGTAGAAGCTATAAAACCAGCAAACCCCCACTCTATAGCACTACAGAAACCCTGGGGTAATGCTACAGAAGCTCAAAGCACGACCCTTAGCAAAGGCAACGTGCCCTAAACGCACGGGGTGTGTGCTTCCCAGGAGAAATCACTGCTGTTAACACCTCTGCTCGGTGCCAGAGCACCCCGGGGTACGCAAAACGTGGGGCCAGGCACAGCTGTGGGCAACCAGTCACCAGCAGGAGTTGCCCCAAGGCTAACCTGCTCTGGCAGAGGCATTGGCCAAGCAAGCAAAGCCACGGTAAAAAAACGGTAACAGCAATGCAAGCCCCTTTCACCTATCATTTTTTGCGGTTCCCGCCGGTCAGCTCAGGATTCCTGTCTCATGAGCAGCAACACTGCCTGACTGGAAACCTTCCACCCGGGTTCTGAATTTGCCTAAGTGACTACCATACCCCCCACCCCCAAAAAAGCCTCTTTCTGTGTAGTCCCTTACCTGTATCCTGAAAAGAGCATTATTAGCCTAAGAGAGTAAGTTTTTCCCCCTCCGCTCTCTGCTATTCCTAGGCACTGATGAGAAAAGGAAGAGAATCTTCTCCTTTGCTCACAGAAAGGTCTTCTCCCGTTATCGCTTATCGCATTTGCAGCCCTGCATCAGGACACGCACATGTGTTTCCCGTTGCCTGAAAGTCATTTCACACCACTGTAAAGCAAGCCCATCAAATGAGCTTATCTTTTCGGTCAGACCTTTGTAATCTGCAAGTAATCAGGACGTTTGGTGTCCAATTTTCCTCCTGTAAAAGGAGAAGGAGAGACATTCCCAGGCCAGGTCAAGCTGCGGGCCAAACTGCTGCTAAGCCGTGCACCAAAGCCTAAGTCTTATTGCCTGTGAACGAGACTAGGCGAGAGTTAGAAGGGCGCTTAGCACAGAAATAATTATTCCCTAGCTCTTCTCTTCCCGAGAGAGCTGGCTAAAGCTTTATTAGAGCGATATTACCGATACTTTTCATTTAAAAAACTCCATAATTGGGTAGCTCAGGTGCCACCACTAAGCGCCACGGAGAATTCCTCAAATAAATATACTCAGTTAAATGAGCTAAATTTTGCCCGCTCCCGGTGCGAATCACACTTGAACTGAGAATTAATAGAGCAGACGCTCAGCAGCCGGTTCCTCCCTCCTGGTAGCAGCGGCTGCTTATTTTAAGAGACTCACGCATTCAGCAAATAACTTTAGTAGGAAAATGTTCCTAAAGGCTTCGCATAACTGTTTTTTCTCCCGTTTTCTTTTACGCCAGTTACTGAGGGCTTTGACAGAAAACCAGCGCGTGGTACCAGCAACATACGTAGACATTTAAATTCTTGCACTAGAAGTATCTTGAATTAACACACAAATACTACGCCCCAGGCAAGCGACAAGCTCCTTCGCATTCTCAAGTCCCTCGTCCTGAAAGCGTGCTGCAGGTCCTACAGCCGGCAGCCACGGCGTGCATTTCAGCGGCAGCCAGCTCAGCCTATTTTGCCGTACGCCTACAAGAGCACGTTCTAAAACTGGTACCCTAATTAGGGCATTATCCTGAGGATAATTCCCCATCTAAAACGCTGGGAATTCTGAGGCAGGATTGCTACTCTCTCTCCTTAGAGAAGGGACCAAATTAAAACCCTAAACTAATTTTTATTAATGAGACACCAGGCCACGGAGAGGAGACAGAGCTGCTGGGTTGTCTATCCTAACTGGGTCAAAGTAAAAATCGAGAGCCTCGCGTTGCCCGTGCTTCAGCGATGAGATGTCATTCACAGACTGACATTCCTCCGTTTCCCTCGCCGAGATTCTTCCTGGCTTCTTTTTTTTTCTCCTTTAAGCGGGATGTCTGATGCCAAAGAACGCAGTCTGGTGATCAAATTCTGTGTTCGCCGCACAACAGAGAAATTGCTTTGCACATCTTGCAGCAGTATTCCCAGATTTCTACTTGCAGGGGCAAAAAAAAAAAAGGTTTTTTTGCGAATAACGAGACCGGCCAGCTAGCCACAAGAAGGGAGGAACAAAGGGGGGGAAATGAGAACTGTGGGGGTT